GAATTAATACTTTATTGCTTTCTACCCCCTCCCCCGTGCTGTTGCTTAGCTGACGTAAATTTATTTGTTGCTGCATTCAAATATTTATTTTCATTTGTATTTTACAAATATATTTTACATTCCTTGCTAGTACATGGAAGTGTGAAAACAACAATGGCATTTAACGGTAAAAATAGAAAATTTATATTTTGCATGGCTTCCATTCCATTGAAAAGTGATAAACGTAGCGGCAGCTGTTTGTTTCTTTTGCAGCCTTAAAGCTTTTTGCGGTAGAGACAGGTGAAAATGTAATTTACATTTTTTTATCAATATTAAATTATTATTTTTTTTTTCTAAATTACTTAATAAAACTGAAATTTTTATTTGAACTTCTTGTGTTTTTCATTTTTATTTTTGGTTTATTGAATTTTTTATTTGTTTACATTGAAAAACTTTCTCTTATTTGCGCTGGATTCTTCTTCGTGTCTCTTTTATTTTAATTTTTTTTTCTTAGCATTTCAGCCATTTTTTCATATCCTTACAAATTTTTTTATATAACAAGAAAAACTTTTGTTTCATATTTTTTCTGCTTATTCGCATTTTATCTCCTTTCTCTGTTGAAATGTTGCAAAGTTTTTTTTCACCCGCCCACATAATAAACATGCCTATCAGCATTGGCATGTTTTTCTCTTGGATTATCAATCAAATTGCTTGTAAATATTTTCCTGCATATTTTCAGATATTTATATATATATATACATATGTTTGTATGTGGCTGAACGTGCATATATAATATATATGTATTTGTGGTTGAATATATTATTATTTTTTTGAAAAAATAAAATAAAAACATGAGAAATATGTGCCCCCTTCCTGCATTTATGGTGTCGTAAATACAAATTTACCATACTTTAATGTCTATAAAACGCACACACGTATACATAATGGTACCAGCGTCTGCAATTCACGCATCATTTATCAACCGTTTAAATGTACCCTTATTGCAATTATATTAAATTTTAGCTTCAGTAAAAAATAACTGCGGCCAACACTTGATAAATATTTATGTATGCTTGTATTTAATTAATAAACATTTTTTTGTATGTTCATAAAAAAAAAACTATTGTAAGCGTTTTTACCACTGATGGTGTTTTAATTTTATGCATATCGAATTTTTTCAAGGAATCTTAACTAAGTTAATATTAATTATGAATCGAAACCAAATTCAATACACCCACAAAAAATATTAGAATCACTAAACTATATTGGTTATTAGGTTTTGTGCAAAATTTGCGCCTAAGAGTATGCTTTATTTATTTTCAATAGAAAATAGATTGAAAAAATATAAATAAAAGACTGATATAATTTAATTTTTAGTCATTATAAATAGCGTTAATTGTAAAAATTTATATTTAAGGGCTGAAAATGGAAACATAGAAAAATTTTCGATTTGTATTTTACTTTTTTTTTATGAACCTTTCAGTATTTTTACCCATATTTAAAAGTACTATAATTTAAAACTATTAACTTAAGCAGCTGAGAATTGCACGCAAAATACAACTAGCACATATGCGCCTAAAAGCATGCTATGCACAAAACAACATTTAATTGAAAAACACTCCCAAACTTTTAACTACCTTAAACAACACTGTTGCCACCTAGAACTTTCATTATACACTTAATTTTAAGCGCTCAATAAAATGTAAATAACAAATATGAAAAATTAATAAAATTGCAGAAAATAGCAGAGCACAGTTTTAGGCGCGTTATATGTGAAGAAAGCGTGGATTACTATTTTTTACACCAGATATTTTAAACTCGTTCTGATACAACAATTTTTTAAGTATATTCCTAAAATGACTGATTTGGTTCACCTTGCAGTATCTAATTCAATAGAAGTTAACTCTTAGCATTTTTGCCTGACGAAATATTTTAATTTCAGCATTTGAAAGAGATTACTCCAGCTAAGAACGATGACTGGATTCTAAGTAGTGAGTTATTAAAGAATTTCTAAGTAGCGAAGAATTTCTGAAGCTCTGCTGGATCAGCACCTACATTTCTTTAGATCTTAGATCATTGAATGACATTAGAGTTGAATTGAGGCTATACTACTACATATATAATATAAAGTAGACTGTAGGTTTTTCTATTTGTTGGCAAAACCTGCAAAGACCTACAGTCAATACCAAGCCGCCTCCGAATGGCTGATGGTTTTTTTTTTTTTGTGAGCTTTATTTCGAAGGGGTTGGCATTCACTGCCGATAGGCGACCGCAATCGAAAAATTTAACTTAATTTCTTATTTAAATTGATTTTCTATAACTTTTGGATATTTGTCGTACCAGGATTTGAGCTCGGGCTTTTCGAATGGCAGTGCGCCTGCTACTATAAACTCTGAGGAAATCCCTCAACGTGATAGTTCGCAGTTAGTAGTACCATGAGTTTTCCTTAGGTATAAAATATCAACTCAACACCTTCTTAAAAGAAAGATGGGAGCAAATTTCGTATTAAATTTCGCGAATATTCAATTTGCAGTAAAAATATATAAATTTGCTTGATATTCTTAAGAATTTCTATTTGCTTTGAAAATAAAACTAATCATATTAAATTTGTCGACAGGTTATTCGTCGACTTTGGAGAAATAATTTTTGTTTTATATTTTCGACTTTTTTTTATTAATTTTTTAAAGTTAGTAAGTGAACAGCATTGCTTTTATAGTACACCAAAACACTTGATTGAATAATTAAATTAATTTTCAGCTTAAATAATCGAAATCCTTAAAACATTTTATGTAATTAGGTGAAAGGAGAAAACATTTTCTAAATTTCCATGGGAAAACTCGAAAAGTTGTAAAATTTCATTGTTGCCACATTAAGCATACATTTTGTTAGTTTAAAGCTATTTCGCATTCAAACACAAACAATTTTTGTGTAAGCGCTTTATATGAAATTACTACAATCCTTTTGGTGAACTAAAGTGGCGCTAAGTATTTAAGTTAATCCGCTTAAATGAGAATTAAATCAGCAAAATGAAGCTCATAACGAATGCTCCAAATTCTGTATAAAATTATCATTTTAGTGAAGTGTGAAGAACCAAAATTGCTAATGAGGAATAATAAAAATACAAATAAAATACAAAGGTATTTTTTATAAAGTTAGAAAAAGATGCTAAATGAAAAAAAAAATAAAAAAAAATTAATAGGGAATATAAAATATTAATAAAAACTAAAATAAAAATATAAGTAAAATTGAAAAAAAAAAACTAAAATCAAATAAAAGAAATTAAAACATTTTTAAGCACAATAAAATAAATTAAAACAAAATACAATATTATAGGATAAAAAATTACATATATTTAAATTAAATAAAGAAATAAAATGATATAAAATAAAAAGAATACAAATAATATATAATCAAATAAAAAAAATTAAATAAAACTAATATAAAATTAAGGAGAAAAAAAGTTATAAAATTAATCGAAAAAATAAATTAAAAAAATATAAAAAAATTATTAAATTAAAATAAATATAATTGTGATAAAAAAATGAAAATATTAAATTATGTGTTATAAGACTTTTACTGGTCATTGTTCAGTTCAATTGTCTTAGACTCACTAAACTATTTTGGTTATTAGGTTTTGTGCAAAATTTGCGCCTAAGAGTATGCTTCATTTATTTTCAATAGAAAATAGATTGGAAAAATATAAATAAAAGACTGATTTAATTTAATTTTTAGTCATTATAAATAGCGATAATTGTAAAAATTTATATTTAAGGGCTGAAAATGGAAAAAAATTTCGATTTGTATATTACTATTTTTTGGGTTTTTATTATATCATTTTATTTTATTTAAATTATATTACTTAATTAATTTGAATTAAATCAAATACAGTAACAAAATTAATGTGAAATAAAATAGTAGAAACGGAAAACAAAATAAGATTAATAATTTTATTAAATTAAATGAGATAAAGAAAAAAAATTAAATAATATATAAAATAAAAAATTTGATAAAAGAAGTAAAATAGAACTGAAGTAAATAAAATACTAAAATATTAAAAATTAATTAACTTAAATTAAATAAAAATAGTAGAAAATAAATTCAACTAAAGAAATAAATCAAAGTCACTTAAATTAATTAAGTAAAAAGTAGCAATAGATCATTTGAGAAAATTAAAATTATATAATGTAAAATTAAATTTAGGTAAATAAAGTAAATAATTATAAAATTGAAATAAAATAAGAGAAAGGAAAAATTAAATATAATTATAATAAATAGCATAACAAAAGAATTGAAATTAATTAAAATAAAAATCGGTTAAAAAAATAAACTAAATTAAATTATGTGTAATAATAAAAAAACATTAAATAAAATAATTTCAAAAAAAAAGTAGAAAATATGAATAGAAAAAATTGTACTTGAACTTATGAAGATGAAAGTTTGTAGAATTTGAAAATTTTCAAAAGAAAGTAGAAACTAAAAGAAAGAAAAAAGTCATTTTTTATGCCACAAAAGATGTCTGCGGTGTTATCTTAATGAATTTTTCAATGTACAGCACAGCTGTTGTTCTCCCAACGCACAGTCATGCCGTAAGGTAGCTAGCTTTCCTTTCTTCTTTTTATGTGTGTGCGTGCGTGTGCGTGTACGTGTGGGTGCGCTTAAGGACACACAAGCACAATTTCAACACGTACAGCGGGTGTTAAAGTAATTTTAAAATATTTCCGCGATAATAAAGGCCAGCAGCAGGGCTGGCCACAAAACCAAACCAGCAGAAGATGTCAGCAAAATATCAAACAAAAAAAAAACAAAAAAAAAGAAAATAACAAAAACTTAATAGAATTTCACGAGCTATCAGGGCGAGCTAAATTGTATGGGCGGCATTAAAGTAAACTTAGCAATAAATTGTATGTTGGAATGAATGAAAGTGTGCAGAGCAAGTGTCGTAAATATAAAGATTTTCACTAGATTTATGCACGTCTGTATGTATATTCGTATATGTACATTTTCTGTCACAGCACACTTACCGCGTTTAGCGTCATGCCGAGCACAAGCCACAGGCGCAACATAGCCCAAGGCGCTGCCAATGATAAATGTTTAGCTGCCATAGTTGTTGTTAGATTTTCGTTGTCGCGTTTCCGGCGCGCACTATACGCTGCAAACACAAAGCTTAAAGCGCGATCACTACAAAGGAACTAGAGATAATGTTGCTGCTTTGTTGGTTAAAATGAGGAGTGGAAAAAATTTAAGAATTTCGCGTATTTTTTGCTCCCCGCACACACTAAACAGCCGAAAAGTATACTTGGATTTTTTTGCTTTTCTTTTCAACTTAGGAGACGCGCACTTTTCACACACGACGATTTTCAAACTTTATTGTCTTCAATTGTATTACTGTTTCCTGGCTTGCCTATTGTTGGTCAGTGTCTGTTCGTTTGTCCGTTAGTTTCCGTACGTTTGGTTTTCGGTTGAATTCGTTGCGAATGCGTTCGCTGCGTCGGCTTCAGTCGTACTGATGGCTGGCACTGGCTAAGGCGCCTTTTTATATGCAACATTTGCGCTCTCTTTGTTCGACCAGTTTTGTTATCCTGCGCGCCAGCTAGCTGGCTGGGTGTGAGCACATAGCGAAAGTGTTGGTAAAAGTTATGTGACACGCGGGAGTAAACGGAGATGTTACGCTCATTTATGCCGGATAATGAGCGTAAAAGGATATCGTCTCGCATAACGGCTGGCAAGTTCTAGTTAAGATGTGCGTGTGTGTGTGTGTGTGCGTGTGTTGCAAATGTGTTGAATGTCAAACTGTTGCTGGAACTGTTGCTGCCGCAGCTACCGCCTTCATAGCAGCTCCGAGCAGCCTCCGACTGGGCATGGCTTTGTGTTGGTGTTAACTGTCGCACTGTTGCTTTGTTGTTGCGCTCTCCTTCGTCTTATCGTTACTGTATGCACTACTGTTGTACGGGGCTAGCTACTATTGAATGTATGTATGTTGCACATGGAAAAATCTATTCTTGCGGCATACTTCTTTATGCGGCTCATGTCGCAATGGTTACTTGTATTTTTTCCCTGCTGCCAAGTTCCACTAATGCACAATGAATATGGGTATGTATGAATGTTTTTGCATATTCATATATTTCTTTCTTAGTGCACCATTTTGGGCATATGTGTCAGTAATGACGTCACGAGCAGCATACAATGGTTAGCTATAATGAGGGCACGGGCAATACAGTGGGCCGAACATGGAAATAGCAGACTGCAGAACCTGTTTTATGGATTTCCTTTCCTTTTTCCGTCATAATGTTTTGTGACAGTTTACTAATCTCCGGGTCCAGCTTTCCTACATTATGACCTCACGTCAACTATTTTGCTGAATTTTCATATAAGAAGGAACAACAGATAGCTCGATAGCTAGTTCCACGGATGAAGGTACTATTTCGATCAACTTATCCTCAAAACCACAGAAAGAGCTTATGGTCATAAAACGCGTCGCTTGGTTGAACCATCCGGCTGCAACAGACGACATGCCCGCTAATTTTTCTTGTTGTTGGTGAGCCAACTACAGCGCGAGAGTCGTTTTGTTTTATGAAGCCTGGTCGCTCTCCACTTGATTGTTCAAACGGAGTGAAGGTCTTCAACTTACTTGGTTTCTACAAGCGGTGTTCCGTTTCCCATATGAATAACATGAGCTAAACGACGTTTCTTTATACCAAATAACATAACATATGCTCGATTTGGTTACGGAATTTTCGGTTCAACGACTACCATGCCCTACAGACCACCATATTTCTACCGCGACGAAGTCGATCATTCTCAGCCCGTTGTCACGGAAACTAAAAATTCCATCTATTGTGCCCAGGTTACTTTCTTTGTGGAAAAAACGCAGCACCTGATGGGATGATGTACACATGGCTACGCTCTGGGTGCTCGGTTTCGAGGGCCCATGAGCGGCATATTAAAAGCTTCGCTTTAATGCGGATTGTGCCTAGATGTTCTTTCGTGGGAGTGAATGCCAGGATTCGGCGCCGGAACCTCTCCCCCACCTTCTTCCATTCCTGTTCCGTACATCTCACTTTTTCAGTCTCATAAGCGCCGAAACCATAAGGGCAGCGGCTCCTTCCCAATTAAGATACCGGAATTTCCAGGTACAAGCTTTTGAATCGTGATCCATTAAAAGTTCGTCATCGAAAGAAGGGCTCAATCAGGGCAGAATTTTTATATGCTGCGTCTCAAGCTTTAAGCACAGCCAGAAGAGGATAGCTTGCTCACTTTAGCTCATCTCCAAACGATAGCTTGTTCGCTCTCAAGACGCAGACACGTCACACTTGACACATGATGTAGGATGTAGGTGATGTAGGATCGAGTCTCTTACCCATGTGAGCTTCTACACGCGACCACATCCTCCGAACCAAGGAGTGTAGTCATTATTAATTTCTTTAAATAAAATTTTCCCTAATTGTTTTTGACTCATTCCCACTGTGCCAATTACTTGCCTTGCAATTTAAGAGTAACACAACCAGTGCTATTCTCTTGTGTGCCAAGCCACAAACTCTCTGGAGAGTACAACAGTAGCAGTACTAAAGTATACTCTTTTGCAATAACCAGCACAGTGGACAAGGACTTGCGCAGTAAATGCTAAGACAAGCAAGCGAGTGGGGTGTGACCAGTTGCGTGTGGATATCCGGTGGAGCAGTGCCTGAGCTGAACAGCCATTAAACGCCTTGCACCTCCGCGGCTGCGGCAACCACACTTTCATTCAAGCGCATTAATATTTTTTTATGTGAATTCCTCTTCTTTCTCGACTGTTGCTGACACCGGCAAAAGCTGGCGGTCGTTTAGTTAGTCAGACCACAGCAGCTCAGGCGGTGGCACGGCAGCTGGTGTTCAGGGCACGCAATTTGTTTGAACTTTGCATGAACATACAATGCCTTCAATACATGCAAAGAGACAATCTTATGTTTTATTATTGTGTCTTCCTGCTGCTTATTGAATTGCACACATATATACGCACAGATAGCCATACTCCAGGGACACATATGGTCACTTGTGAGGACCGAAGGATGTGTGTATAATCTTACGCTTGACTCGGGAGTGTCAAGTGTTCGCTTGCTTCGCGGACTTTGGTGGGTAGTTAGAAGAGCGCATATGGTTTCGAGAAAGCTGGTTGCTTGTTGATAGCTTCCGCCTAGTATTTCGTTATCGCAATTATATTTAATATGTTTCCGTATATTATTTCAATTATTTTTGATACGTTTGATTTGTTGTTGCTTTGGCAGTTAATTGGCGTCAGTAGAACAGAAAGAGGTGTGAGTATTGTTTGGTTTCGCCCTTTTTTGCCATTCCAATTGGAAAATTCAAGTGAAGTCATGTCGCTAATCATCTAATCCTGCCAACGGCATGGATGACTTCTCCTTCATCTGTTTTCAACAACTGATTCTGCATCTATCCGGAGCACTTCACCTAGTCAGTTTGAAGTCTTCGTTTATTTCGTGGATTACCGTTCCATCGTTTGCAGTAGTCGACATACGAAGAGCATTTTCCGTTTTCCCTCCCGCAAGCATTTTGCTGAGAAATTATGAGTTTTGTACTTCCGCATGGATAAGGATCAAGCTCTACAAGTCGCTCAAATCCCCATAATGCTTTGTTGTGCAGACGATTTGTCTTCATTTACCGTGAGGGTACTTTACTTTTTTATTGTCTAAGCAGACGTTCTTTTTGGCGCTGATGCTGCTCCCTAGACGAAATTACCTACGACCTCAAGGTCATGAAGTTTGCAGGCACAGAAGCGGAAGTACAAAGACAATGTTGTTAACTGGGGTGTCGGTGTCTGACTGATGGCTGGTTATCCGATGAATGAAGGGTCCGAGTTTTCCATTACTACGGGTGAGCCATTCAATGCATTTTCTCATGAGTGCCACTTGGCTATCCCGGCGAGGTATAGATAGGGATGAAAGCGAGAAGATTGGGTACAAATCTTGAAGGAATGTCCGATGTACTGAGGCATTAGAAACGTGAGAGTATGCGAGCTCGCCACCACCAGGTGTTTCACTTTCACTGCCATTTAGAATCCTAAAAAAGTATTCTCTTCATAGACTCCGAACATCGGCCAACAGGGAACCTCTTTAAATCCTACATGAGTATGCTTCGGTCTTGAGGCCTTCTGTAAGTCGTTTCATTTTTTCATCGCTCTATCGAGTTTTTCGACTAGATAACAACCAAGTAGAAAGATTTTCTTGTGTCAGAATCTCATTCCATTAAAGTAGGTCTCGTCATGGAGGCAAAGATGCCTTCATTCCTAATCAAATATTTATTTAATTATCCAATAAAATGCCTTGGAACAAATTCGTTTTAAATTTCCCATAAATAAATAGATTTCTATTTATTTCAATCGAAAATTCATTCGAAACCAGAGCAAGCGCAGAATATTGCATCGAATTGAGCAAATCTGCATTTTTGACAATCCATAACCGAAAAAAAATCACCAACAGCAACGACAAACTGCAGATAAACTACTTCATATTCCCTTCCACTAAAAAAAAAATCAACAAATATTTATGAATGAATTTTAGTGTCCGAAAATATTCACTCTTCAAAAACCGCACTGCATTAAGTGCAAATGAAGTCCAACAACCGACATCAGCTAAACACTCTCCGCTGCAATAACAACAAAATTCTAACATTCCTGCCACTAAGAGTTAGTGAGCGCAAAATATGGAGAAAACGCCACAAAATCCACGAAAATGCATTTTTTGCGAATCGTTTTTGAGAATGTGTAAAGTGAGCAGAAGAGAAAAAAAGTGAATTTAATAAAGATTGAAAAAATTCATGAAGCGCAAAGCAACTGCAAACATTTTTCTCTTTCCTCCAAAATATGTATACATATATATATCTGTCTGTTTGTAAGTACTAATACTAGATCAAAATGAAGTAGATGATTGCAGTTTTTGTTGCTGTTTTGTCACACTTGAGTGCATTCAAGGGCAAAGCATAGTGTGTGGGCGACGGTGTACAGTGGGTATGTTCAGATTCTTTCAACTTTCTTCTTAGCTTTGAGCATTTCAAATAATTTTTATTTTATTTTGTGACATTCTCTTGAATCTAATTTTTTTTTAATTTAATTTATTTACAATACTTTATTTAATTTTTTTAAATTTATTTTGATTTTTTTTAACTTAATTTAAATTATTTTTTTGCATTTCATTTTATTGTATGTAGTTTGTAAATTATTTAGTGTTGTTTTACTTTATCTTTAAATTTATTTAAATTTTCTTGCTTAATAAAATTTCATTTATTTATTTTATTTTACCTAATTATATTTAATTTTATTTTATTTGTTTTTTTTTTTAATTTGAATTAATTTAGTTTACTTTATTTTTATTTTATTATGTTTTATTTTTTATCATATTTATTTAAATTCAATTAAATTTAAATAAAATTGTTATATATTTATATCATATTTTTTGGATTATTTCACTTTTTTTTAATTATCTTTGCCTTATTTTATTTT